GATCCGTTGTAGTACATAGTAGACAATAGGACAATAAGGAACCATTGTAGACGGTTGTCATTAGGGATATCCGAAGAAGCAGATGAGAATGTAGGGTAAGAAAGTGATAATTAATTTGTTTAAGGCAATACTAGAGAGACAATTCAGTGATGAGAAATGGGAAAAAATTAGTCGAAATCTATGAATCGAATGAAATCTTGGAATTTCAAGAGATTTAATTTAAGTAAACTAAAAAATAAAATATTTATAAACACAGGTTTCAGAAGAAGGCTAATATTAAACGGATTAGCGCATTAAAACAGAGAAAAGTGAGAAGCAAACCTAAAATGGAGAAGTTACAAATAACAGATAACTTCACTTCTTCGCAAATACAAATAGTTTAAAGACGAACGAAAATTCATCTAGTTGCCAGTCGGAAGGGGAAGTTGAAAAAATGGAACGACGTACACAAAGGATTTCTACCCATTGTGGTTCTAAGAGACGTAAGTCATCGAATCAGATAAGCTCGGTCTCGCCATCGCTAAACGGCCGGTAAAGCGCACCTTTTCCATCGAGCAGTTCGTTGTTTTACAAGAGCGAGTTCATCAAATATTATAGAATTCATAAATAAATTGCATGATCGTGTACCACATCTTTTAAGAAAATCAAGAGTGACAACGAGAAGAGAAGCATTTTTAGAAATTAAGCGAAAGGCAAGTACATAATGTAGTAGCATCAAAGTCGAAAGAGTTTTCTAAAAAATTTCAAAACCTCGACGTCACAAATTAAAAAAGTAAATGAGTAAAAATACAACTTCTATTGCTTCATGTAAATCACACAATTTAAATAATCTGTAGAACCCACTCTAAATTCTAAAACAAATAATTAATGCAATAATTTGCATACCAATAACACTAATTACCAATTACCTGAGTTACACCGATTACACTTTCAATAGAATAGATCTTATATCTGTTTCTGAAAATAACATATGTGACCAATATATGATGGATACATTGGGGCCTGCCGTACGTGATCAATTAAAACGTAACATTCTACGGAAAATAAAAAAGAAAAGTTAAACGATTTCGCATTCACTGCCAGGGCGAAGTTGAAGCGAACACCTTAGATCTGAAGCGCAAAAAAGGAACTACAATACTGATTCCTCAAGGGGAAGCATGAGACGAAAAGGTTGTAGCGGGGGAGAGAGGGGGGAGGGTTGAAGTCTTATCAATATTCCGCGCCCGCCGCGCTGCGTGGCTGGTAATGGCTCCAAGGGCTGCTGCTGGCCCCATCCGCGAGGTTTCTCCGACGCACACGAGCGCCTTAGAACGGCGACGCTATCCCTCCCCCCCTCACCCCCCCCCGGCGCGGTCGCTGGTAGCTGAGGGGGGGAGCGCCAGTTCCCGCCTGGGTCGTGTGACGGAGTACTCATTTCTAAAAACGCCTACTGCTATTACTGCGGCTTCCCTATTCATTGCTGCCTTGACAACGTAGTCGCCTGCTTCATCACTTTATTTACCCCTCTCTTTGTCCTCCTCTATTTCTTCTTCGCCTCTGCCTCAAGTCTTTCTCTTTCCTCGCCATTATCCTTCTCCATTCCTTCTTCTCGTACTCCATTTCATCTTCTTCTTCTTCCCCCCTCCTCTCCATTTCTTCTTTTTTCCCTCCTCTTCTTTATTTCTTCTTCCTTCATCATTTCCTATTCGTCCTCCCACTTCTATCTCCACATCCTCCCCCTCTTTTTCCTCCTTCCTCTTGCCTTCTTCTTCCTCCTCACCCTTCCCCTCTTCTTCTTCATCCCTAACCCTCCCCATTTCCTCATCTTTATACCTCTCTACTTCGTCATCCTTTCGCCCTTTTCGTTTCCTCTCCTTTGCCCTTCTTCCTATCACGTTCTTCCTTTTCTACATTTTATTCTTCGTCCTCATTTTTTTAGCACACTTATTGCAACCAATCTATTCGTTGTGACCGCCACCACATCTCCTGTGTTTTCTTCTCTTCCGTTTGCTATAGCTCATTCGTGCTCACCCTCCTCACCTAATACAACCATACAACCTTGTTCCTTACTTTTTTAAGGCAGATTCACATTAAGCAATCTCCCTCTCCTTTAGCAATAGACACCTCACGCTCAATCCGAAAAGAAAGCTTTTGTGAGAGCGGGAACACAAACAAAGAACTTTTTTCAAACTCTTCATTTACCGCATTCATCCATCTTCATTTGTTTAATCAGCCAACCGTCCCACAAAATGTTTATTTCATTAACTTCAGTGTTTTAGGCGCTCAATGTTGTCGTTTTTTGTCAGTACAGTAAAATATTATTAAATTTTGCAGATTGTCCCAGAATTCAAACTTCTAGGGTTCTTAGATGAATTCAAATGTGTATGCACCAAGAACGTAACAGTTTTAATGATCGAATGGTGACAAATGCCAGATCCTTTAGCTCTGATCCTCTCAATTTAAGTAAGTTATGCAGTGTATATCGAACTCCGTGGAGAAGGTGATAACAAGCAATATAGTATCAGTGAAAAATAAACTAATACTCTTACCAATAAACACATGGTGTGAAATTTCATAAAACCGAGTTCTACTTGGCGGGTTCACCCCTGATCAGCAACTTAATTTACGCTAGAGTTTGCCAGGTACACGAATCTCCCCGACTACGCCAAAATGTGACCCGTCGAACATCCATGCATAAGTAGTTGCCTAACATTCAGGGGCAAATAACGCATGTGTGGTTATTAGAAATTTCATTCATGTTCATTGCTAAAACGTTATCATTTTCGGCTCATCTACGTGCTCTTGTAACATTATTCTGAGACACCTGAATTGTACGTTTCAAATACAACTCTGTATATGTGTGTGTGTGTGTGTGTGTGTGTGTGTGTGTGTGTCTGTGTCTGTGTGTGTGTGTGTGTGTGAAATAATAATCCACGTCGGCCTCTTTAGAATTTTTTATTTGTTAAGGCTACTTTAATGTGCAATACGTAACGAGGTCTCCCTGTGCAATTTGATCTCACAATGTGTGCGTGCACAGGAATCAGCTACGCAGTAGCGCTAATCATAATCTGATCTACTAGTGAGGTCGTGATGCCATTGAAATAATACTGCCAAGTTGCATATCCTTCATCACTGTTTATGAATTTGTTTGCAAGGCGCATGCATTAGCAGTCTCTCGATGCAGGCCGGCGTGACGTCGGCGGCGTGACGTCGGCGTTGTGTGTTTTTGCACAGGAATCGGCTACGCAGTGGTGCTGATCGCCTTCTACGTGGACTTCTACTACAACGTCATCATCGCGTGGGCGTTGCGCTACTTCTTCGCCTCCTTCACCTCCTCGCTGCCCTGGACGTCGTGCGGCAACCATTGGAACACGCCGCAGTGCAGAGACGTGAGTGCCACAGCAGACTTGTTCGCGCATCATGCAGTTCCTAGCTCTCCGGCAGACCTCATGTCTTAGGCAGTGTTCACGTCATATCTTAGGCAGTGTTGCAGAACGTCATGCAACGTTATGTCTTAGGCAGGGTTGCAGAACGTCATGCCATGACGTTCTTGATGGTAAATGGCTCTTCATCATTCACCAAGCAATGATTTGTCCAGGTGATGAGTGAATTGGTGATGGTACTGTTCGAGTGATCGAGCTGTAAAGAAATTAAAAACGGAAACGGAGGAACACAAAGAAAACATGCCTCGAATCCAAATTCTACATAGATCGATCGGCATTTGAAACCAAATACCGAGTTTGTGAAACGTGTTTTTATCAACAATTTCCCCATGACAAACGCATGTTCTCGAGTTTCTATTGCTAAAAAATACATAAAAAATTATTTTCAAAACTTTTATTGATGATTTAAAAATAGAATTGTCCCTATTTATTAGTAATTTCCCTTTCTCACTCATTGAAGTCCTTTAGGGGGTCGGTGAAACCCAATGAAAAACTAAAGGTGCTCTACAAGTGTGCATTTCCCGTATTATTAGCAACGATTATGTAATATTATTATAGTACTTCTCTTACTAATCAGTTAGCAGTTCAGCCATCACTCGAAAATGCAAATGATGTAACTTATAATTACACAATTATCACACAGTACATAACAATTTTTTTTTTGAAGAAATGACACATGAAATGATTTCCAGATCTAATATTGAAAAATAAATCGCATTAAGAAACAATTCAATATTAAAGGCACAAGACACTTTTGAAACAAAAATTAAACATTGTCATCAAAACACAAAATTACTATTACTTTCAAAAGGAAAAGGTTACATACAATATTTCAACTATTTTGTATTGAGAAATAGCATAATAAAGCTAGTGATGCTACAAAAGTACGTTGTTTCTTCCAAATATTGTAATGGTTACGTAATATTACGAATCTGTTTAATATTAAGAAACTGCATATCTGAGAAAATCTTGTTTAGATAATTTTTTTAAAACTTGTCATTATATCCCTTCAAATTTCTTGAAAAATGCTCGTTTTTAAAAAACAATCTTTACGAACTAAACGTTCTAATTTTGAAGAATAATTTCATAATGAAATTAGTGGAAATGTGCGGCATACCGAAACTTGTGTTATCCCCTCCACTTTATGTTAATGCTCAAATTTCGAAAGAAATTCATGAAATCATGTAACGAAATACAGTTGAAGTTATGTAGAAAACACAGAAGTCGCAAGAATCAAAATTATGGAAAAATATTTTTGAGAGGTGAGACATATATTAATATCGATTTGTTATTTGACAAGAAGTGCTAATAAATTTCACCTCAAGTAGCCAGTACTAAAGCCGTGGGCACTACAAGTTTTTTCGTCCTAAACGTGTGTTTTACCCAGCGAAAACCTAACTTCCTTCAATGAGTGGATAACGTGTGAGTTTGTGCATGTGGCGTATGGTGTTTGCGAGCATGCGTGTTTTGCGTAAACGTATGAGAGCCTCTGCTCCACAGCTCGACGTTGACGGGAACGGGACGGTGAGCGCTGCCGCGATGGACGCGGAAGCCAGCGACAACGGCAGCCACTACACCTCCGCCGCCTCCGAGTACTTCAAGTAAGTGCGAGATCCCGGACTGCGAGCACCGTTGTCGCTAATCCTCACCGCTCTCGGACAATGTAAGGTTTTATTCGCATAAATCATTAAATTGTTCAGGCAGTAGAAATGGAATTTATTCGAAGCACCTTAGGATATACAATTTTAGGTTAAAAAAAAGAAATAACGATCTAAGGGAAGAACTCGGGATAGAACCAGTGCTCGACAAGCTGATAAAAAATAACAAGAAACGGTGCGAACATCTAAGAATAATGCCAAGCAGCAGACTTCCAGCTTTGGCAATGCAATGTCTACCAAAAGGAAAACGTGACGTTGGATGACCACGTGCTAAATCGGCGCCGGAACAGATTGATGAATCTAATCCTTGATTAAAAGAAGAAGATTCGCATAAAATTAATCAGTTCATTCTCTCTTTTATTCCATGATTGTTCTGCTCTAATAGTACCCTTTTTATGGCGACAAAACAATTATTCTGTTACTTCTTTATTAAAATTAAAAATTGTTAAAAGGGAAAAATTCCTAAAAGAAAATATATCTCTAGAGCAGTCTAATCATGGAATAAACTTTGATTCCATTAATAAAATACTTTTTTACACGATTTGGTGTATTCTAAATTTATAATATCTGATCACATTGCTAATCGCCACAACCTCAAGTACAATATGCTTTATCTCTGAATAAAATTATAGTCCCGAAATTGCATTGATATATTATAATAGTTCACCGTCACAATTAGTATATCGTAAAGTCAAGGTTTAAACCTGCATAACTATATCTAGCTATTCCTTTACATCGTATGTCTCACAAATGTGCAAAATAGTAAACAAATCAATTACAAACACCTAAATTGTTAACAATAGATTTCTAAATGTTTTTCTTTTGACATAACTGCATTGTAAATATCTTAAAACTGTGAAATTTTATAAAAAACACTTTGTAAAAACTGGCAAATGTTTAAGATGTCGCTAATGCCTTGGAAGTTGAATGGACAATAAATATTTTTTTCGAACTATGAAATGTATATTCTAGAACATCGGTGAAGGTAAATCCCTTCTTTATCCATATGTTCGCTTTGGCAAAACTATAATGAGAAGATAGCAAGCACAGGGGCACAAAACTATTGTCAAATGGTTTGCTCTCATCTTTGGTAGCATTGTGTAGTTAAAAAATGCACAAAATACAAATACCGGTGTTAATGCATTTTCACATTAGCATCAAATGTTTCACAAAATTCAAATTGCAAAGTAAATATGCGAGAAGAAACGCAATAGTGTTGTCCTGAATATTATACTGGCGACTGACGAACCGCTTGGCGCTCTCTTTGCAGCCGGGCCATCTTGGAGCTGCACGAGAGCGCCGGCCTGCACGACTTGGGCATTGTGAAATGGGACATGGCGCTTTGTCTGCTGGCCGTCTACCTCATCTGCTACTTCAGCCTCTGGAAGGGCATCTCTACGTCAGGCAAAGTGAGTACTCACACTCACCACCCCCATCCTCCTGCATCGCTCCACCTCTATCCAGTCCCTTTCTCTTCTATTCTCTGTGTCTCCTTTCCAGTCTCGTTCTCTCTAACACAAAGACTATGCAACAAAAGTACCTCACAATATTCTTACTTTTGCAGGCAGTCTTATTTTTTGACGCGGGGTTTTTCGAGACAACATGGTTAAACCTGCCCAAAAAGTATTTTCCGTAAATTATTTGCTTCAAAATCTCGAACACACTTTCGCACATTATATTTACAGACGGAAATTTTATAAATGACTTGTGCTTTTTCTACATATAAAATACGTGTTCTACATTGAATTTTATCATAATACCCTCAGATACAATTCTGTAAATTCCCTGTCTCAGCTTGTTCCACGAAATACGCAAATCCGATTTCCGCAAAAACCTGCATCGGCCGGGAATCGAACCCGGGCCGCCCGCGTGGCAGGCGAGCATTCTACCACTGAACCACCGATGCTGCGCGGAGAAAGCCCTGGTAGCTTATAATCAAGGGAGGAGGCAAACGCCTTTCACTTCCGTCAGCACTAGCGCAGAGTGGCCTACCGCAAGGAAGTCCGCTGCGTCTCTTCGACCGCACCGCTTTCTCGCTGGCGAATGAACGCGGGGGAAGCAGGGCGCGAAAAACAAAATGCTACACGTGACGTGCCTCAAGGCGAGTCTACGCATTCGTTATTTCATGGGTAGCCAGCGCCAGCACGCTGAATCCCAAGCAAAATGAGTTGCTATTTGCCCATTGATTATCTTCCGATGCTCGCCCTACCCAACGCGTGTCCGTCTTATAGTCGTATCAAAGGAAGCGAACATTCGCTAACACACTACCTGCAAGGCGAATGCCGAATGTATGGAGCCGTCGTAACATGCAGGAAAATTGCAATGATAAAGACCCCGCGCTAACTGATTTTGGAAAAAAGATATATTTTACTACAGTTGTACTTCACTACTACTCTGCCACAGTTCTTCTGGGTGGTTTATTTCTTTACATAAACACCGATTTCGTTCTCGAATGAACTTGATTTATAACCTGTAAGTTTTACCACTAAATATACGTTACTACAGAGACTCGTTAGCTAACGATACTAGAGAGATTCCTATTTAAAAACGATTTAGTATCAAGATGTCGAGTTCTTCATCAATCCCTATGTAAACCTATATTTCATATATATTTGCTAATGTGCCAGCAGAGATCGCGTTTGTGTCAACGAGCAAATAAACGTAACACTTCGCTCGTAACTAGATCTTCACTAGAATCCGGTGTATTTTGTTGAAGTTGTGGCTGAACAAAAAATAAACAGGAATGTCTATAACCTCCTCGTCTCGAAAATCTTTAGAAACAGTTTCGTGTCAGGAAAAACTACCTACATTTTACAATGTGGGTTTTTTGTATAGGACAGTTGGTGCTGTGTCCTAATTAATGTGATTCTTGTATCGTATAACTGTATTTATTGCATGAAAATGACCCAGTGATGACACGGAAAAACCACAAGGCCGGGAATATTGTTAAAGCATGAATGAAATAGTTTGTGTACATTTGGTTCCGTTACCCTCTTTTATCAGTTTTTTGCACCGTTTTCTGTAACATGTAATTGTCGTGGCAGTCCTTAGCTTTGCTACCGGCACATTGTTTCAAGGTTTTTCCAGTCTAAAATACAGCGTTTGGTTCAAATATTTAGTCAGCTTCAAATTTCCCCAATTGAAAGGATCGCCAGCATTGATTGAATGGCCGCAAACTCTGTCTCAGTCCGTTGGGTTTCCACCAGGTCGTGTGGTTCACGGCGCTGTTCCCCTACGTGGTGCTGCTGATCCTGCTGGTGCGCGGGGTGACTCTGCCTGGCTCCGCAGACGGCATCCGCTACTACCTCAGCCCCAACTTCTCCGCCATCTCGCGGCCTGAGGTAAGGAATTCCCAAGACTTAGGAAATATCTGCGCAAGTTTTCTTCAACTCTGCAATTCCTATCACTTGTTTTTTACCCCAAAATTAATTTATTTACGACTAAAAGTCGCGTACAACTGGTGTACAAGTGGTGCACTTAATTACAAGAAAGTGTTTCTCCTGTCTAAAAGAAACCACTTGTATCCGTAAAGCGCGTAATTAATCGGTGACAGACTGGGAACTTCGGATTCTCACGGCGCTGCGGCCCTGGCCAATAGAAATAAAAGGTAATACGACTTGACATGACTTATGACGGACAATGTTCAAGAAGAATTACTCCGCGTTCAACGGCAAAGAGCTTTTTTTAACGTTATGCAAGTAACAAGGAACAGAACTTTCTCTTCAAAGATGATGATAATGATAATGATAATGATAATAATGATAATGATAATGATAATGATAATGATAATGATAATGATGATAATAATAATAATAATAATAATAATAATAATAATAATAATAATAATAATAATAATAATAATATACGGATGATATAAAGCATATTATCGAAAAGGTCAATTTCCTTTCTTGTAACCCGTAGTAATATTAATATCATAAGCATAAGGTTAAACGGGTCAGTTTCGTAAAGCGACGACGGAACGACATTGTAACATTCCACATCGCTTTTGACCTGCTACGGAAGTGCTGCATATAATAGCTCCAAAGACATTTAATATTTTACTCTAATATATTGCACTCGAAACCAAGGCTGCGCTAAATTCGTACTATATCACTGAATAATTCTACAAAAGCGATTTAGTGCGTTGCATTATCATTCGAATTTAATGTTACTTCGTAGCTCGTTCATAAAAAGAACTGTGGTAGTTTCCATCATATTCTGCAATTCCCATCCACACCCTCTATTCACATACGTGACTCCGTGTGATTTCACAAGCTTTTCCCAGGAGATGGTTAGGGGAATGATTTGCGGCGAGAGGGGAATATAAATCCTCTTAGGGTAAGATGAAGTCGAGAAAGAAGACAAACGCCACCAGAGCGCTCTCTTTGCGACATGCAAAGCAACTCACATGGCCATCACTTTTCGTCGCGCGACATTATTTTTATTTCCCTCACGTACTCTGCGGGATGTCTCTCTCCAGAGCGTGATGGGTATTAGTGGCGGTACCAGGTCCATTTTGATAGACATAAGAAGTTGGGGGGGGGTTCACTTTTTCGATATTCTGTTAAATTTGAAACAGTTTCTGGGAAAATATTGTTTACGTTTTTTTTTAGTTCCACTGCTCTCAAGTGGACTATTAGATAATCGCGCCAAGACAAGTCGTCACACAGCGACCGGTCGGGCAGGCTGTGATTGGCTGGCGGAGAGCCCGTCTTGCTTTCAATACAATCTGTACGAAATATGCTACCCGGTCAGTTGAGAATATTATGCATGACACGGGACTCGTAATCCTAATACATCAATATTGAAATTGTCAATTGCGCCAATTACCCGGTTCTCGATCCTTCTGTTACGACGTTATTGCCTACATTGCCTTCATATTAAGGAAGTAAATTTCACTTTTCCGTGCGTTCAAAATTCTTTCTTGCCGTTTCTCTTCCGTTTCAAGATCATTTCTGGAGGTCTGAAAATGACGTGTCGTTATCACTTGGAAGGGGAAAAATCTATTAAATTCCTATATTTTTGTGACTCATTTTACCAAATATTTTAGAAGAACCTAATTATTGCCACATTTTTTTCTCAGTTGGTATGTTTTGTAAACGTCGTTAGGGAATATTTTGTAAACGCAATGTTAATGAAGGAAAATTGAAAGAAGTTTTAAGAAATTATTTGTGGTTCACAAGTTTATATTAGGGTATTGGTGAGAAAAGTTTCCATTTTTTTTCAAATTTACAACATATTGTTTTAACATATTTATATTTCGATGTCATAGTTATCTTCAAATAATTCATTTTTCATAAACAACTTGTGTTCAAAGACTTCAAACTTTTGGTATAACTCTTGTGTTCCAGATTACATGAAAGAAATAATTAAAATGTCCTTTCTCATCGAAAATGCATTGTCCGCTTTTAATGATTATAGCTGTATTTTGTTTATTCACCTTTCTATTTGATGTTAGTTTTATGCATTTGGTCGTATTATTATTAATTAACATGTTTTTGTAATTACGCTCTTTAATTATTATTTGTTAATATTTTTTTCCTTTCTGTCTCATCTATAAAGTATTTTAATTATTAACTTAATTGCTAATACCCATTATACAAACTGTAACAAAGCTTAAGATGTTTGCTAAGCCATTAAATCATACTAATCGCGTAAATAAACTTTTGTAGCTACAACAGTTCATACTTTCTCGCATTATTTGTATCGGCTGCGTAATATTGTTCTACTTCCTGAACCTTTAAAAGGGTTTCCCACCTGCAAAAAACGTTTTCTTCGCGCCAAGATTTCAACTGACGTCTCGCAAAAAAATGTCTTTCAGGTGTGGGTGGATGCTGCTACCCAGGTATTCTTCTCTCTTGGTCCCGGATTTGGAGTTCTCTTGGCGTACGCTTCATACAACAAGTATCACAACAATGTGTACAAGTAAGTGAATAATAATCAAAAGCTCCATTATTACACTACATGCGTTATATTGCTATTTAATCCCATCTTATGTGAGTAAAACAGTTTGAATGCCTTTAGTGACAAAAGACTATTTAGATGAAAATTGAAAATTAGAGTTTACTAGTAGAGTATATTTTCTGATACTTTTTTTAACTTGGCAAATGATCAAAATGAAAGAAAAAATAAACCACACTAAAGTCAATTAAATCGTAAATTTGAAAAATTTTGACGTACAGGTGAACTTGATTTTAATGATATTTTCCTTGTACCTGATTTTAGTTTACTGTTGATATTGATTTCTATAGAATGACATTAACTTTTTTATCTGAAGTAAAGTATGTAAAATATTGCACGTGAAATAAAATCTGAGGTGAATAAACCTAAAGAATAAACACGAAATCGAACATGATCCTGCGGAACATGAAATATAAGACCTACATAGTTGGATGAACGACTGCAAGACATTTAGTAGTGCCTACTGTCTTTATATATCGTTATCGACTTATTTTCTACGTTATGACAACTGTACAAAGCCTAACTTGAAGGGTATAGCTACCAAATGATATAAATATGAAATATTCGATTGTGAAGAGTCGTCTATTCACAATATGCTTGCTACTTGTAATTGCACGCTAACGGCATTTGATAGACATTCGGGTGTTTCTTGGTACATACACCAAAAATATCAGATTACTTGAAAAATGTAACAATACAATTGCTCTCAGTTGTTCAATTTGATAGTGAGAAATAATATTGATAGATTTCCTTTTTTCTTCCATTCGGGGCTACCTTCCGGTTTGTCCTATCTCCTGTCCAGCTGCCTTCTATCAGTAAATACATACCGTGGTTTCACTGACTCTACTGCTCTCCTGAGGGCTCTTTCGGAAGAGAACGCCTCCCCCCCTACGTACTCCTCGAACGTCACACCAAAGGAGCCTTTCGGGGTCGTCCACAAAAGACGTACCGCTATAGAAGGGAAAGGGGTTACGGCAGCGTTACGCTAAGTTATAAAGGCATAAAGGGATTAGTTGATGGATTGTTAGTAATTCCGTGCACGTCCACTTCTAGGGTCATTAGTCCCGTAAGTGAAGTGTATGTGTTTGCTCGGGAGGTGGCGGGGATCTTTCCCTGCTGTGGCGAGATCCGGCGCCGACCTACCTTCGCTTGCGGGGTTTTCCCCAACCAGGCATCTCCCACCATGGGGGCACCGCCCCAGCCGGGACAAGCTCTAAGCTTCTGACCGGTATCCCGGCATCTGTGTTAGTGTACATGTTAGCGTAAGTGTGTGTAAGGTGTGAGGATAGGACAAGGAATGTGTGGGAAAGATCGTGCGCGGCCCGTGGCCCGTTTGTTAGGGTACTGTCCGGCATTCGCGAGATGTTGATCGGAGAAACCCCGGAAATCTACCGATAATAGCAGCCGGGCACTTGAATTCTTCTCCAGACAGCGACTGAATTCGACCTAACTGACAAGCTAGTATTGAAAATCCTGTACCCGTCGGGACACTATCCTAGGATCAGTTGATGCCGTGCAGTGGCATCAGTTTTATGCCCTGAGCCATATCTCCGTGTGTTAGTTTAGTGTTACATGCTATACTAAAACATTAAAATATTAGCAAATTGAATATAAAAATATAAATAAATTTGCCCAGGGCGGTTCACGGACAACGTGCTAGCTTTCTGCGAAGGGCTCTGCAATTCGATTTCCAGTCGGGGCATAAAAAGAGCTGTAGCTTCCTGAAAAAAATCTTCCCAAATTTTATAGTTGTGTGACGAAAGAAATCTCAGGTTGGCCAAATAAGTTAAGTACTGTGAGGTACCTAACCTACATAAGAAATTTAATTAATTTATAATACATATTCCTATTGTAACAATACATACATAATGTTTTAATTTATTTATGTACGCATATGGAATTGAGGGTCGAATTAATTCGACTTGTCGCAGCTAGAAAAGTTCCCAGGTCTTGCTTTCACGTCTCTCTCTTATCCCCAACGGTGGGTAATAAACATAAAAACACGGCGAATTAATTCGATCCTAAATTCCATATACATACATAAATAAATTAAAACATCATGCATGTATTGTTACAATAGGAATACGTATTATAAATTAATTGAATTTCTTAGATAACGAGAAAAAATCCAAATTAGTCTAGAATCTAAAGAAATTGCTCTTAGCATATTCTCCCCACCCATCCATGACATCGTGATCAGGACTTGTCAGGAATTTTCTCGCCTATGCGTTCTTCCTTCACTCAAAGTTTGACCCAAATCTTATTGTTAAGGTACAGTCCGCGCCGCCAACAGAACACAAACAACGTTAATACAAGTTGTTTTTACTGAGACATTATTCATTTTTACTTTCTGTTAAATGCCAGCATTTTCGCGAGCGTTACGTAATTATTTAGAAGGGTGGTCCAAGCGCGCGTTT